TGGTAGCGGCTCTAGAACTCAGGTATGGAACCCAAAATCATGAGAAAATAAACAAGAAGAACAAGAAAATAAACAAGAAAAACAAGAAAATAAACAAGAAAAACAAGAAAATAAACAAGAAAAACAAGAAAATAAACAAGATAGATTACAGCAGTTGTTGGAGGAAAAAGAAAATAAACAAGAACAGAGATTACAGCAGTTGATGGAGGAAAAAGAAAAGAAACAAGAAGAGAGATTACAGCAGTGGCAAGAAAACCTGCAACAATGGCAGCTCGAACAGCAAAATAAACAAGAGAGATTACAGCAGTTGTTGGAGGAAAAAGAAAAGAAACAAGAAGAATGAGAAAGGAAACAAGAAGAGAGACTACAGCAGTGGTTGGAGAAGAAAGAAAATGAGCAAGAAAAGAGACTACAGCAGTGGTTGGAGGAGAGAGATAAAATAAGCAAGAAGAAAGTCTCCAACAGTTGAGAGAAAGCAAGAGTACACAAATGGAAAATATTAGTAAATTTCAAAGCGAATTAAATACATTAAAGAATGATTTACTGTCTTTTACACAAGGAGGATATATTAGCCTAATCAGCCTCAGACAATGGGAAGCCCATTCCAGACCCCGCAACTAAACCCAAATGCAGAGATCTTCAGTCCTGTTAGAAGTCACATCCCAGATATGAATGTCAGCAATAGGGGTGATCCAGTACGAAGGAAGCCAAAGGCATTCGATGGGAAGGCACCGTGGGAAGCATATAGAGGACAATTGGAGCTCCTGGTCGATATGAATGGATGAACAATGGAGCAGAAAGCAGTATATCTGGCAACGAGCTTGAAATTGTTTTTGTATTAACGTCATCAAATCTGCTAAGCTGTAGTTTGATTTGCCACCTCTCGTTTCCATCTTCTTCTTCTTCTTCTTCTTTTTTCTGTCCCACACCCTGACAACAATTTGTTACGTCTCTGTGTTAGTTTGTTAATTTCCCGTATAATTTCTTTCGGATGAAACTTTAGCGATACAAGTCCTTTCTTAAATAAAACTAGTTTATTCTTTCGCAATACAACTTTGCAATACACTTAATTTCCACAGTCTCTTTAACTTAAACACAACGAATCACGCACTTTACTTACGGCTTGATTCGATTATCTGTCTCTATATCTCTCTGTTTGCAATTATTCTCCCCCGCTTTATTTGCCAGTCTTATATATACAAAATAGAGGACGTCTCGAGCCTTCAGGAACCTTCTAGATACTCATTACGTGTTACCAGAGTCACGTGACTTCCACTGTCGTAACATATCCGATGACTGTCTTAAGAAATAATTTTTTGTTTAACTAACTTGACTTTTGTTTAACTAATTTGTGGGGAAACCTTGCCCACATTTAGTGGTAGTATTTCTAAATTTTGATAAAGGTTAATAAAACTGTTAAATGTGTTTGACATGTGTTAATAGTTGATTAGTTTTGACAAAACATATTTTATTAAATAAACCAACACAAGTTTACATTATTTGAAATTGCTGAAACAAATTTACAAATCAGCAAAACCCAATATCATCTTTTTTTTAGATTAGACTACAGTTAGAAATAGGCATGGGATATGACGTTATTTCCGGAATAAGAGGGAAAGCTCATGTGGGATAAATGGGGACTTTCAATGTGTTATTAAGTTGATAATAAACAAAATTACGATACTTATGATATACAACATTGTTTATTGACATGGATAAACGTTTCGTAATTCTATCAGATTCCATCTTCAGTATCTAAAGCAGAATAATATGAATTTACATGTCTTTATACATTGTCAAAGTACAGTTGCTAAATATAACGATAATTAAACAAATAAAACACTAAACAGTAATCATGGGGAGAAACTACAGCAAGAAAGCACAACGAAAAATAGGTAAAATCAGTAATACGAACATATTCAAATATGTATAATTTCAATGAAGACTGCATGTTGTTCAGTGTTAGAGAGTGCTGTTTGATGTGGAGGGTTTCTTTGATCAATAATTTCAGGTCAGTATTAGACTTGCAGAGGATAGAGGAAATTTGATAGTATAGGTTTATGTCCTCTTTCTTCACTATGTTGGCGTATAGAGGAAACACTGGGGTTATTCAATTTTTTTTTGCGTTTTGATGAAAATTCCCATATGTTTATAGGCTCTGACTTTTAAATGGCGTTTGGTTTTGCCAATATAGGATGCCTTACAGTCTCCACACGTGTAAAGATAGACAAGCCAAGAAAAATAAGGAATGGGGAGGAGATCTTTAGTAGGGAAAAAAATTATGCGTGATGTGGATTTAAAAACTAATCTTAAATCCACTTGAGGGTAGTAACGACCAAGTATGCGTTTAAGTTGATTTTTTAAATTTAATCTTTGTTTGCCAGTATAGGTAAGGCACGAGTATATAGCATGTTTAGGTACAGTTGGTATCTTAATTGGATTTGTGAGTTTCTTTGTTAGGAAGGTGTTGGTAATGTTTTCTAATAAGTGTTGTGGATAGCAGTTGCGTTTCAGGATGTCATGTAAGAACGAAATTTCAGAGTGTAGATTAAGATATGTGGAGCACAGGTTGTAAGCTCTGTTTAGTAAGCATGTAACAAGGTTTCGTTTATACGTAAACGGGATAAAGCTATCAAAGTGTGTAAGGAGACCAGTGGACGTCTTTTTTCGGTAAATCGATGTGGAAAATCTATTAGCATTACGGTTAATGAGCATTTCTGAAAAAGGTAAATTATTATTATTTTCAACGTCACATGTAAATTTAATGGCAGGATGTTGTGAGTTAAGGTATTCTAAAAATTTTGAGCATTGATCACTGTTATTAAAAAGAATAAAAGTGTCATCCACACACCTTCTGTACAGAACAGGCCTAAAGTTAACTGGACAGATGTCAAGCCATTTCTGTTCGTAATGAGAGAGAAATGCATTAGCTAAATTAGTTGATAGAGCTCATTCAAAGGGCTGTACTGAAAGATATACCTGGTCTACAACAACAATGTCCTGACCTGTGACACAAAGTGAGAGATGAAACTATAGCCATTTCAGTTATAACAGATGCAAATCATTAAGTAGAAGACTTCATTGGGGAATGAATGCTAAAGCTAATGTTCAAGGTGTTCTGGGGCAAGCAACTGAAGGATCCTGACTTAGCATGGGTGCTCTTTACTGTCCAACAACACCAAGCCCAAGCGGTACTAGTAGAGGAGCACAGTAAGGATTATTCTAATCTTTGGCACCTGTAAAAGCAGTTACAAGTGAAAGAAAATTTGCTATACCATTGATATCAGCCAATGAATCATGGTGCCCTAACAATGCTGCAGCTAATGGTGTCCAAAAGCTCTGCTGCAAGATATACCACGGACTTTGCACAACACAAAGAATGAGGGCACCAAATTGTAACTTGCACTCGTGTTAACATTCTATGGTAGTTATTCCAGCCACAAATGAGTCGAGATGTTTAGTGCTGGTGTGAGCACTGTAGATTGTGTGTCATCCATAGAGAAAAACAGCTGAGATAGGATTAAATGCAATAGAGAAGTGTTGGTTCTAACTTCACTACAAATATGAGAAAGTTAAACCCACTAATAGCAGTAGATTCGATCAGGAAATAAGGAGAGTAGTCCGTGTTTAATAAGTCGACTGAGTTTCCTTAGTGTGTATGAAATAATGAGACTGGATAAGTTTAACAAAATAAATACAATCATTATTTTAAAGCAAACAAAACGAAAATGCAATGTACATACTTGTACACATAAAAAAAACAGCTACTTGTAGCAGACCATAATTATATCTACAGCTTTCTCTCTCTTAGGATAGACTTTTTTGTGGAACTGGATTGTGATGCTAGTGATGTCGGAATTGGAAGAGTGTTGTCTCAGAAAGTGGGCG